CATCCCCGGCCGGCTGGTCAGTTCCGGAGCCACCTGGCGGAGCCTCGCCAGGTGTCGTGATTCCCACAGGTGCCGCGGGGGGGGGGAGGGGGGCGCGGGCGGGGGAACCCGGCTGGGGGCGCGGCGCCCCTGAGATTCCCGCCGCCGGGGGCCGCGCGCACCTACCTCGCACTTGGGCAGCGGCGGCCGCGGCGGGACGCAGTCCGAGCGGTTGCGGCCCCCGCGGTCCGCAGACGGGTCTCCGTCGACGGCAGCAGCCCCCCGCGGCCGCCCGTCTGCAGAGACACGTGGCGTCAGCGGGCAGGGGAAGGATCCCGGGCCCCTCCGCTCGCCTCCTCGCTCGCCGAGCTCACACTCCACGTCCCCGCCGAACAGGAAGAAGCCGATCAGAAGCAGCAGGAGCAGCAGCGCCGCGGCCCCCAGAGCCCGGGGGCGCCCTCGGGGCAGCATGGCTGCCGGCGGGGGTGCTCAGGGCGGGGCGCCACCCCGGGCTGCGGGCTCCATCGCGGTCCCTGCGGATCGGAGAGGGAGGCGGGGGAGGATCAGCCTTGGGCGACGGGGCCCGACGGCAGCCTGGTCCTCCCTCCCGCTCTGAGTCGCCACTTCACCTGTCCCAGCGGCCTGGGGACCCCGACCTTCCTCTTCCAGAAGCCGGCCGGGGTGCAGGGGAAGGGAGTGGAAGTGCAGGCCAGCCCCGCCCCCAACCTGGGTTCAGGTTTCACCTCCGCTTGGCTGAGCCCAAAGGGGCGGGGAGGCCCCGGGGAGGGGAGGGGACGGGAGGGGGGCGAGGAGGACTGGCCCCGCCCCCTACCCCGGCATCGGACGACCACCCCGCCAAGCCCGGGAGGAACCCGGGAAACCCCCAGGATGGCTGGAAGGAGCGGGGGCAGCCACCCAGGAAGGACCAGTCCCGCCACCTGCCCTGAGCCCATCCCCCTCTTCCCAGCCCTGAGGCCCCATCTCCTGCCCTTAACCTCCCAACGGGGGAGGGGCCCGTGACCCCGGGCCCGGGATCAAAGGGCCGGCGGGGCTCAGGAGGAAGGAGTGGAATGCGGGGCCTCGCGGGCCAGGGACACCTGCTCTGGGCACTGGAGGCGGGGCCGGCCGAGCCCTGCCCGGGAGCGGCGGAGCACCTGGAGCTCCGGGGCCGCTCCACGCCCCCTGCCTTTCCCGCGGCCCGGCCCGCCTGGCTGCGCGGCCCGGACAAAGCCGCCTTGCGAAGGTCGTGTCCTGCCCGGGAGCTGACAAGGGGACTCCCTGACGCGGGCACCGGGATTCGCGCCCCCCCCCCGCCCTTGCCTAGACCGGGGGACTGGGGCTGAGACTGGATTTCTCACTCTGCCCTGCCTCGCACCCCGCAGCCCGGCCTCGGCCCTGGAGGGAAGTGGTGGGCGCTCTGGCCCCTGAACGACAAGAGTGGCGGTTGCCTGAGCGCACATTCTCCGTGCCAGGCCCGGTGCTGAGGTTTGACCAGCCTCATCTCAGTTAACCCTCCCCTCAGTCCTGTGACGCAGGATTATCCTTCCCTGCGAAGTGAAGTGACCTGTTAGAACACCCACCCCTTCCCCAGACCCCTTCCTAGGCTCTCCCCTGAAGGCACAGTGTCCTGCGGCTCTTCTCTAAGGGCTTCCTGCCCCAGAACTTGCCCTTGATGTTCCTTCTGCCTGGATTCTACCAGATTCTCCTGACGCGGGTTCCTCCTTCCACATCCCTTGGTTTATTTTATTCCTAGCACTCCTCTGAAGTTGACCTTGCGGACTTGTTTATAGGTCCCCCCCCCAACCCCAAGAAGGCTGCTCCTGCGACTGGAGCCTTGTCTATCTTGTCCTGTACTCGGTCCCAGAGCCCAACCAGGGTCCAGTACCCACTAAGCACTAAGTATGTGGGGAACATGGATGGGATGCACCAGGCCGCCTCTCCGTGAGCCAGTTTAGCCCAACTTCACCTATAAAAAGTGAGGGCCTGGGCGCCTGGGTGGCTCAGATGGTTAAGCGTCTGCCTTCGGCTCAGGTCATGATCCCAGGGTCCTGGGATCGAGTCCCGCGTCAGGCTCCCTGCTCCTTGGGAGCCTGCTTCTCTCTCAGCCTCTCTCTCTCTCTGTCTGTCTCTCATGAATAAATAAATAAAATCTTCAAAAAAAAAAAAAGTGAGGGCCTGGGAGACCCTAACCCGGAAAGAAGCTGTGGAAAGCAGGCCAGCATTAGACCCCTCAAGTCTCCTCCTTCAAGACACTGGGATGCCTTTCTCTGGGAGATGGGGGTTTTCCAGGAAAGTCCAATTTTGGAGGCCAGGGGTAGTGGTTGCCACGGATACTGATGGTGGGTCCCTGCACATCTGGGAATTAAAAGGAGATGAGGGGATGCAGGGGCCATCCTGGCGTCTGGAACTTTGAGCCTTCAGCATCCCCTGACCCTCATCTCTAGCCTGGAGCTGGAGTGGGGGTGGACGAATCCCTCCCCAAGCCCCTCAACAGAGACTGGGGATGGTGGAGGGGGGTAATAAATGTGAGGGAGAGGGTACAGCACACAGGTCAGGGCCTGGCCAGGGAGTGTGACAGGAGCTGGGGCTTTTGGAACTACTTGGTTACTCACAATGCTGGCCCCACCTCTCCCTTAACCTTACCACTCAGGGGAATCTGCTTGCTGAGCCACCTCCTGGGCCTCCAAGAGGTTGCTCTGGGGCAGGGGGAATGGGAGCCAGGGGGTGGGCCTATGAAAGGGTGCTGGTCTTCTAGGCCCGAGACCTGGTTTACCCAGCTCTGCCCAGGACTTTGCTGTGTGACCTTAGCCCAGTCAGGCCCCCTCTCTGGGTCTCAGTGTCCTCTGTACTTGTTAGACTGGTCTAGCTCTCTTCTCCTGTGGCTCAGGGCAGACTGAAGGAGGGAGGTTCTGGGCCACCTGCCCAGAGGCCCTTCCAGCCCAGCCAGGTGACCAATGCCAGGCAGACACCCAGCAGGGTGGGGCTGCGCTGGGTGCCTCCAGCACACACGGCCCACTCTTTGTTTCTGGGACCTAATCAGTCCTGAGATCTGGAGAGGAAATTCAGGCAGCTCTGCTGCTGCCAAAGTGGCTGGGCCCACGCTCCTCTCCCAGTCCTGCAGGGAAGGAGAGGTTCAGGAACAGGTTCATTAAGATGGTGGGGTACATGGGGCACCTGGGTGGCTCAGTCGTTGGGCGTCTGCCTTTGGCTCAGGTCATGATCCCAGGGTCCTGAGATCGAGCGCCACACTGGGCTCGCTGCTACGCGGGAAGCCTGCTTTTCCCTCTCCCACTCCCCCTGCTTGTGTTCCCTCTCTCACTGTCTCTAATAAATAAAATCTTAAAAAAAAAAAATGAAGATGGTGGGGTACAGGGAGGAAAGGAGAAAGAGCCCCACACTGAATGCCCTGAGCGCTGGTCTTAACCCCAGCTTCTAACTTGACTCACCACCAAATGGCCTCACTGTATCACTGCCCTTGCTGGGTTGTGGGCAGTAGGAGAGAGAGCAATGCTGTGGGAGACACACATTGTGGTCCATTTGGCCAATGCCACGCTATGTGACCTGGGACAAGTCCTTTCACCTACTGGGGCCTCTTATTCCCCAACTGTGAAAAAGAGTTCATACCTAGCTGGCAAGGTGGCCAGGAGTGATGTAGGAATGAGTCTGGCCCCCAGGAAGTGGTGAGAAACGATGTTGGCGATGCCTACGACCACCCTGTTCTGCAAGACCTGTAGCCTCTCCTGAGGCCCCTGGACACATCTCCCTGGGTCATCATTGCTTGGCATGAGAAGCGAGAGCAGCTCTGATTCCTCACCTGATAGAGAAGAAAACTAAGCTGGAGAGGAGGGTGAGGGAGAGGGAGAGGGGAGGGCAAGGAGAGGCTGTGGCTTCCTAGTAAGGTGTGTTGCTTAAACCGCCTAGAGGCTGTGGTCAGACCAGACCAAGATTCGAATGTAACTGGGCGTTCTTAAGCAGATCCTTTCCACACCTGCAGATAACATCCCGTAGAGGGAATCAGGTAAAATGATGTATTACTCCTCTCAGAGTACCGTGAACCAGTCCGCAAGGGCTCAGCCCCTTGACCCCACCCAGGCTCCGCCCCTTTCCCCACGGAGCCAATCAGTGGCGGCCTCCCCGGAGCGTCAGATTCCCTACCTCTGGCCGCTCCTCTCCCGCCACAGCCCCTATCAGGGAGGCCGCCCGGTTTGGGAAGATTCCCAGGCGTCTTCCCCGTCCCTTGGGGAAGAGCTGAGGACCGGGAGGTGCATCCAAGGGCCGAAAAGCGCTTTGAGATTGAGCCCGAGTTCAAGGACCAAGTCTCCCCTCAAACCATTTTACAGATGGGAAAACTCGAGACCCAGAGAAGGGAAACACTCGACCAAGTCACCCCAAGCCAAGAGCGGAAGGCCGAAACAGTTTTCTCCGCGAAGATGGGAGTGCATGTCCGCACAGTCCATGCGGGAGCTGTGGCCGAACACTAACAGTGGCTGACCAGGGAATCGAGACTGCGTGGAAGGCTGGATTCTTCCTTGCCTCAGTTTCCCCAGCACTACGTCTAGTAGGGGTCCGGGGACGAGGCAACTGGCTAAACGGGCCCCTGCCAGGACTCTCCCCGCACCTCCCCAAGTCTGATCGAAGTTCCTTTAGCAAGCTACCTCCCAGCCCTTTAAAATACGGTCCTCCCGTTCGAGCCTCTCGGCGTTCTATTGGAAAGACTCCAGGATCCTAGTCCATTCTCTAGAATGAACTGCTCAGACTACCGCGGGAGCTTTCTTGGAACTGTTAACTGCGCAGGCGCAAAAAGCAACCCACCCAGAAGGCGGAAGCAGAGCCTCCCAACAACGCCGGGGGGTCGGGGGCGGAGAGTGTGCTTAACCAATGACCTGAAGGAGCAGGGAGGGCGGGATTAGGCCCGCAGTTGCTAAGCGCTACCGTAGTGGGAGGTGATTTAAGAAATGGGGTGAAGTGTGGTTCAATGGCCCTTCACGTCATCATCCTTCTGGCCCTCGGAAGTTAAGCCACGAGGAGGCGGGCCTAGGACCGGAAGCAGGAAGGAGGGCGCAGGAAGCAGGGTGCTACAGTTCGTCGTACTGTCGGTCCGTGAGTCTGTCGGTCCCGAGGGCAGGATGGAGAAACTGCGGCTTCTGAGCCTCCGCTACCAGGAGTACGTGACTCGTCACCCGGCCGCCACGGCCCAGCTGGAGACGGCAGTGCGGGGCCTCAGTTACCTGCTGGCAGGTGCTACCCTGACCTTTGCCCTACCCCTTAGGGGCTCTGACCTCTGACCCCACGGGCCCCTTCCCTTCGGAGTCAGGGTAGTGATCTCTGTGCTTGAGAAGTTCCTTCCACGTTCCCATAGGGCACAGGGAGGGGATGTCCAGGGCCCCGAAGCCGCAGGCTGAGGCAAATGCTCACCGTCGCCTCCTGTACCTTCTCCCCAGGTCGCTTCGCCGATTCTCACGAACTGTCAGAGCTGGGTGAGTGGGGCTCTGGGGTGGATGGGGGGCGGCGGGGCTTCCCAGAGGGGGGACCACCCTGGTTCGCTGTCCTAGGTTTTCCGTTACCTGGTCCTGTGCTGAGTCGGACCGAAGGTCCAGAGTCCACTGTCTCAGGTCCCCCATAGTCCAGAGACAAATCTGGGGACCTTGACTGGTCAGGCGGCTGGCCCAAGTACCTTGCCTGCCTTTGCCCAGTTAATCCTCCCTGTACTCCTACGATGTACTGTTACTGTCCTCAGTGTCCAGTAAAGGGAACAGAAATTCAGCGAGGTTAGGGGACAGCTACTGGTGATCCCGGAGCCAGGATTCAAGCCCGGATTTCGCACATTCGAGGAGCCCCAGACTGTGACTGCCTCAGGCGTGTTTGCCCAGGGAGCCCCGGAGGGTAGTGGAGGTAGAGGTGGAGCCGCCTTTCAGGGACAGGCCGCAGGGAGCTGAGGCCTGGAGGCGAGACCACACATCCATGGCTGCTGAGAGCGATGGGCAGTTCTGGGCAGCTGGCTGACCAGGGCTCTGCAGCAAGGCAGTAGCTGCTTTGTCACAGAGACCAAGCCCTCCTTTCTTGTTAGAGCCACCCACACAAGATCATACTGGGGAGTGGGCAGCTCTGAGGAAGTGGGTGGGGAGGCGGGTGGGTTTCCACACGGCCTGTGGCTGGCGGAGTAGAGCAGGTAACAGGTGATCCCTGCAGCTGTGGGGAGAAGGGGAGGATGTAGAGGCCGCAGAACCAGCCCCTCACGGCCACACTTTTCCCCCCGCCCTCAGTGTACTCTGCCTCTAACCTGCTTGTGCTGCTCAACGATGGGATCCTGCGGAAGGAGCTTCGGAAAAAGTTACCTGTGGTGAGAATTCTGTCAGGAGCTGAGGGCGGGAAGCATAGGGACTTGGGAGTGAAGCAGTAATCGCCAGTCCAAGTGTGTAGCGTGTCTCAAGAGTGTGAGACATGCCTACGTCCATCTGAGCTTCAAGCCATCTCATTAGGTGGAGGGTCAAGTTGTTAGTGCCCCTGTCGCAGATGAAGAGACTGAATTTCAGAGACATAGGGTAGCCTCTACTATCTGGAGAACTCAGGCCTACAAGGGTAGTCTTAGGGGAAAATCCACCTCTCCTGTCAGAGGAATCACCTAGGAGGAGGGCCTGGGACTGGGCCCCCCCGCCCCAACCCTGATCTCTTGGCCTGGGGTCCTTGCAGTCGCTGTCCCAGCAGAAGCTGCTGACATGGCTGAGCGTGCTCGAGTGCGTGGAGGTGTTCATGGAGATGGGGGCCGCCAAGGTGTGGGGTGAAGTGGGCCGTTGGCTTGTCATCGCTCTCATCCAGCTGGCCAAGTATGTTGGGACTGAGGAGGGCAGGCCCTGGGTGGGGGTGACTCAGGCCAGCAGTTCGTGTGGGGTTCACCAGAGCACCCCTGGCCCCCTGCTGGCTAGCCACCTCCCCCGCAGCCCTGTCATACTCCCAACCCAGGGCTGTCCTGCGGATGTTCCTGCTGATCTGGTTCAAGGCTGGCCTCCAGACCTCACCCCCCATCGTTCCGCTGGACAGGGAGACCCAGGCACAGCCCCCGGGTAAGCTGTTTCCACGCTCTGGAGTGGCCTGGCACACGGAGCTAATTTGTGGGTTTAGAGCCAGCCAACGTGAGTAGAGTGTTGTCTGTTTATGGAGCACATTTATCCCCATCAGCTCAGTTTGTTGTCATTACCCTGTATTGTACAGAGAAAAAAAAGAAAGATGAGGCTAGGGGCAAAATCAGAACTTGAACTCAGGACTCCTGGTGCCAGAGTCCTCATTCCTTTTTGTGGAACGGGGGACAGCATGAGTAGGAGACAGAGGTCCTGCTGACCATGTCTTTGGGCCTCGTTCTGTATATCAAGAGCCAGAGTTGCATAAGGCAGGGTACCTGGCAGATCTGTCCCTTCGGGGCTTTGGACTCCTCACTGGTTGGCCTCCAGGCCTGATGCCTCTGGCCTTCCGTGGGGTCCGTTCTTTGCTTCTCCACCTGGTCATATTGAAAGCAAAGGACTGAGAAGACATGGGTCCTCCCTCCATCACTCCAGTCCCTGGGAGGCCTGGCTTCTTGGCTGGCTCCCCTACCACGAGTCATGCTGCGCTTTCCCCATCCGGGGAGAGTGCTGACACACAGCTCTGGCGACAGCGTCCTGCCTCAGCTGCCGCTGTAGTACAGGCTTACCCACGCCCACCCATTCCCCCCTTAGCCCGGGGGCGTTCACTGCATGTGGGTTCTCCGCGGGCTCCGCTGCAAACATGTTCCTCTGACAGCATGGCCTTCTGTCTGTCCCTGCTAGATGGTGACCAGAGCGCTGGTGGCCAGGAGCAGTCATACGTGGGGAAGCGGTCGAACCGAGTGGTACGAACCCTCCAGAACAGTAAGTGTAGGAGTCATGGTCCCGGGTGCCTCAGGGCAGAGGTCAGCCTGGGCCTGACTGCTCATCCGCTGCCCTTGTGTTCTAGCCCCATCCCTGCACTCGAGGCACTGGGGAGCGCCCCCGCAGTGGGAGGGCCGGCGGCAGCAGCAGCATGAGGAGCTGAGGGTCACCCCCCCCACCCCGCTGGGGCTGCAGGAGACCATCGCAGAGTCCTTGTATATCGCCCGGCCCCTGCTGCACTGTATCCTCTGCCCGCCACTGGCTGGCCCTGTGGGGCAGGCCCCATGGGGAGTGGGTGGGTGGGCCGTGTGCCGGAGACCTCCTTGACACCTTGGCCGTCAGTGCTCAGCCTGGGCCTATGGGGTCAGCGGTCGTGGACACCCTGGCTCCTGTCTGGGGTCGTGGACGTGACCAGGTGAGCCCAGGCCTGCCTGGGGAGTCCGCTCCCTCTGCCGGGCTTCATGCCGCGGGCCTGTCCTCACCTGAGCAGATGCCCCCCCTGCCCACCCCACTGCTGGCCCTGACCTTGTCCCCTTCTGCCCCCAGCCTGAGCCTCCTGAGCGACAGGAAGGGCCTGAGCCGGAGGGAGCGGCTGGAGCTGCGGCGCCGGACCATCTTGCTGCTCTACTACTTGCTGCGCTCCCCGTTCTATGACCGCTTCTCTGAGTGAGGCCTGGCCCCGGCCCGCGTGCACGCCTTCCCCCCCACCCCAGGGGTGTGCCATCCTGCACGCAGCGGCGAGTGCCAGCCCGGCCCTGCCTCGGGGTGCTCCGGCCACAGGCCCGGGGCTGCGGGAGGCACGCAGGGGCGGCGTGCCTGGGGCAGGGCCCCGGGGATGGTGGCAGGAGCGGGCTTTCTTCCTGCTCAGTAGTTTGGAGCCTCACTTTGCAGAGAGGCCCCTGAGGTTCAGAGAAGCGGGGCACCTTAAACAGAGCTGTCCAGCTAGCCCATGGCAGAGCCAGGGGCCACCGCCATGCCTGTCCCTACCTTGCCCGCCCCTGCTCTGTCACCTGTGAGGGCCCAGCGCTTCTGGCCTCAGCCAGACCCAGAGGGCCCACTGGCAGCAAGTAGGGGGGGGCTTGGGGCCAAGTGCCCCAAGGCCTGCCGGGTGACTGCCTGAGGTCAGACTGCAGTCTGAGGAGGGGTCTCTGTATGGCGACGGGGACCAGGAGACAGACTGGAGGCTCCCGTCTTAAGTCCTCTGCTGGAAGACTGCAGTAGTCCCTGGAATTACGTTTAATAAGATGGCCGCACAACCTCTGTTTGGGTTTGGTTTGGCTTGCTTTGGTTTTGAGGCAATAGGATGTGAGCTTGTGCCATACTTAATACCACCTTGGTGAAAATAGCATGGCCTGGTAATTCCTCTTTCCAGATAAGTTTGCAAGCTCACAAGGTACTAAAGCCAAATCCTGTTCCCTGCTCTAAAGGAATATTCCAGAGACTTACATGGACCATATGAGCTCCCCCCACAGACAGCCTGCACTTTGCAGAGGAAGCGAAGCCCCAGGATCGCGGAACTGAGGCATTTTGAGGCGACAGGACCCGCAGAGGTGGTCCCACAGGTGGCAAGCCTCTAGTGTGGCCCCTGCTGAGCGGACCAGCCTAGCACCCTCACAGCAGTGGCCCAGACTGAAAAAGGTCTAGAAACCTGCTGGAGAAGTTCCTGGTTACCCCAGAGGACAGGGAGCAAGCTGCTGAGCGGCTCTGGGGTATAGGCTGTGCAGGGAACGCTCTGTCCTTCCTGTCAGAGGCCGAGTGTCATCTCGGGCCAGGCTGCCTTGCAGTCGTGTGACCTGGGCCAAGTTACCAAAGCGCTCTGTGCCTCCTCTGTGCAACGGGGACGTGCTCGGGCCTATCTCATAGGGTCGTGGGAGCCCTTAAATGACCTCAGACATGGAGGAGCACCTGGTACAGAATCACTTAGCAAATGCCGAGTCTTACCATCATTTCTCTTGTTCCCGTCCCCAACACTGTCGTCTCACCCCAGGTTCTCCTGTGGGAAAGCCCTGTCTCTTAAAAACAATAGGGCCTTGGCCCCTGCCCCCGCCCCGGGCCTGCTCACTCAACATTGGCTCATGAGGTTTCGGTGTGGCTCAGCGCTTCTGGCTTACTGGGGGTTTCTTGAAGGCAGGGCAGGGCTGTCCTTCCCTTTGGGCCCTCACCATCCCTGTGCCGGGACTGCCCCAGGAGTGTGTTGGCTCAGGATGAGGGAGAGAGCGGCGGGAGTCTGTGGGACGCTGTGAGGAAGCACCAGTCCCAGGCTGAGCTGTGGGCAGCCCGGGCCAGCCTGTTCTGCTCATCTTCTCTCTGCAGGGCGAGGATCCTCTTCCTGCTCCAGCTGCTGGCGGACCACGTCCCGGGCATTGGCCTGGTCGCAAGTAAGTGCAGGGTGGGGGTGTGATTACCGAGTATCGCAGATCTTTCGAGTGGCCCCGTGTCCCTGACTTTTCTCTTTATCTCCTTGTCATTTGATTCTTGACACAGGAGAGGGAGCCCAGAGGTCAGGTTGGGTGGGTGGCAGCTCCTGGGCAGGGCCAGGCCGGCCCGTAGAGCCTCAGGTTGCTGGAAGGTGTCCTGTCCTGGGAGGAGTGTTGGGCCACACTGGGCTGTCAGCCTTAGCCCGGCCTCGGGATCCTGGAGCCGTACACCCCTGGGGCTTCTCTGGGGCTTCTGTGGCGGGGCTGAAGCCCACCAGGCTGTTTGGAGCTCTTACCTCAGCCACGTGGCTTCTCTGAGCCTGAGGTCTTTGCAAAGGGGGACAGAGGTCGCTGCCGCTGCTGCCTCCCGAGGGGCAGACAGGCGGGAGAGTCAGTGGGGCTCTGGCTGGACGGATGTGAGCAGCCGTTTTGGGGCAGCGTGGCTGAGAAGGGCCTTAGGTAGAGCAGAGTCAGATTGGAGTCTGGCCCTCAGCCCCGAACTCTCTCTCGTTGCAGGGCCACTCATGGATTACTTGCCCACCTGGCAGAAAATTTATTTCTACAGCTGGGGCTGACCCATCCTGGAGGGGGTGCACGGAGGGGCAGGGGGTGCCCCGGCCGTCAAGTCCCCTGGGGCCTCTTTGCCCTAATAAAACTGACTCTGGCAGCGTCCCAGCACGTGGCCTCTCCGTGCCCGCCACCCAGGGCTCCCAGCTCTCCCACCTGGCCCACCAGGCACCCCCCCACCCCGGACATCCTCTCGACTTTTCACCCTCTGGCGATGGAGCCACTGCGGCCCGCACCTTGTCCCTGGGCTGAGAAGCCTCCTGTCGGGACGGGGACCTGGGCTCCTCTGGCCACAGAAAGCTGGGGTCTAGTGTCCTTGAGCGTGGGAAGCGGCTTGCCGTGGCAGCCGCGGAGGTGAACTCAGCTCCTCTCTCATTGGTCCCTGGTGACAACAGACAAGGTCCAATGGGGCAGGGGGTGACCGCTGCCCATGTGGCCTCTGGCCAGAGGCTCTGTCTGCCCCTTCCCTGCAGGGCCCTGTCCTCTAGTCTGCCAGCCTGTGATGGAGCCTGGTGAATGGTGGGCCCGGCTTGGTGCAGTGACACCTCAAGCCCCGAGCCCCTGTTTCACAGCTGGAGGTGTTCTCCCACAGGCAAAGAAGGTGAGGCACCAGCCAGCCCTGGGGCCGGTGCTGGGGGCGGGCGTTGGAGGGGCTGGGAGCCCGAGGGGGTGCAGGTTCAGGGGGGAGGAGCTGGGGGTCTCTGCACACACCCCCTGCCCGCTCCCTGGTGGCCAAGTCTCCTGGGGCCGTGCACAGGCTACGGCAGGGGGGTGGGGGGGGTACAAGCGCCCAGACGGGGCAACTGCAGCCTGGCCTTTCTGCCTGGCCCGTCCCCTTCCTCAGCCTCCACCCCTGTTCCCTTTGCTCTGTGAATAGACCTAACTCTCCTGCTGGAGTTTCTAGCCGGGTGAGCCGCCTTCCAAATTCTGAGGGCTCCATCCGCACCACCTCTGCCCTGCCTCACTTCCTCTGACACCTGGGGGGAGCCACGGGAGGAGGGGCCAGCCTTCCTCTGCTACCCTCCATGCCCCGCAAGTGCCTCTGGGAAGGCACGCCCAGGTCCTGGGCCAGAAGGTGAAGGGACGAGCCTTCAGGTGGTCACAGCTTGGGGCCCCGATCTGTTGGGTACAAGGACCGTTGCTGGGCACATGCCCTGTCAGTGGGCTCTGGGCCGGGGGCTGTGCGTGCGGCGGGAGGAAAGCTGGCCTTGCTGGTGGGCGCTAACCCATCCGCAGAGACACATAAATGCAGCACGCTGGGGCGTGTGAGTAGGTAGGAGCGTGTACCTGAGGGAGTCTGGGTCGGAGGTGGGTGAGTGGAGGTGCTCGCTGCCTGGACGGATGCCTGTGGAGGGCGCACCTGTCAGGGAGGCCTCGGTTCAAGCAGGGGTAACCCTGCGCCAGTGTGGGGCCGGCTGGGAGAGCAGGTTGTGCAGTGAGTCACTGCTGGGGCAGAAGGGAGGGAGGAACAGCGGGAGGGGGTAAGGTCAGGGCCAAATCCAACAGACCCTCGCAGGCCAGGCAAGAAACTCAGACCTGCTTCCGGAAGGCAGTGGGGAGGGGAGCATTTTAAACCTCATCTCAGGGCGCCTGGGTGGCTCAGTCGGTTAAGTGTCTGCCTTCAGCTCAGGTCGAGATCCCGGAGTCCTGGGATTGAGTTCTGCATCGGGCTCCTTGTTCAGTGGGGAACCTGCTTCTCCCTCTGCCCCTCACCCCGCTCGTGCTGTCGCTCTCTCAAATAAAATATTAAAAAATAGGGCGCCTGGGTGGCTCAGTTGGTTAAGCGACTGCCTTCGGCTCAGGTCATGATCCTGGAGTCCCGGGATCGAGTCCCATGTCGGGCTCCTTGCTCAGCAGGGAGTCTGCTTCTCCCTCTGACCCTCTTCCCTCTCGTGCTCTCTCTCATTCTAATAAAATCTTAAAAAAAAAAAATCATTAAAAAATTAAAAAAAAAAATACACTGCACCCCAGCGGCCTGGTGTGGGGGGCTTCCGGCAGGTGGTACTGGAGGCTGAGCACAGGGACATGGCAGCAGAAACGTCCAACAGTGGTTGGGGCCGGATTAAGGCCGTGGCTGGGGAATGACAGGGTGTCGGTGGCACCCAGGCAGGCTAGGGACTGGGTGTGGATAGAGAGGGAGACGGTGGCCTCTCAGAGGCAAGGAGGATGAGGGACAAGGGACTGAGTTGGGCAAAGGGTCCAGAACTCGGGGTTCCCGGTAGCGGTGAGGACGGAGGACGGGGACACGGGCTTGTGAAGGACAGTGGTGTCCAGGACACACAGAGGGAGAGGACCACTGAGCGGTTAGTGTGTGGGCTCAGAGCACGTGGGGACAGTGTGAGGAGATGCCAGCACCTGTCACCCTGGGGGTTACTGAGGACCAGGAGCCAGGGCTGCCCTCCCCGGGCCTTGGGCACGTCGGCAGTCAGGGGCACAGGACTGGACCCCCGGTAGGTCTGTTCTTAGAAGTGACGGGGTTTCCAAAGCTCAGAGCCCTGCCTAGCGCTCAGGTTCTGACTCCATAGGTCTGGGGGGGGGGGCCAGGGGTCTCGGGTTTAAAGCCCCGGGGCTTCCGAAGGGAGCTAGGCCCGCGCGCCACTGACGGGGGTGCTGCGCAGGAAGCAAAGAAAGGGCCCCACAGCTTTGCCTCAGCCTGAGAAGAGACCGGCTCCATGCTATCACGTGGCGTTTATTCATTCAACAAATATTTACTGAGCATCCACCAGGTGTGGCTGGGGATCCTGCAGTGAACAAAACCAGTCTCTACCCTCGGGAAGCTTCCACTCCAGGGAGCAAGTTGGGGGCTTTGCCACCTCACTCAAAATCCGGCTGTCCAGCCTCAGGGGTGGTGCGGAGCCCCGGGGCTGGGCTGTTGGAAGCTTCGGGGAACTGGGGAAGAACTCTCTCAGAGCAGGCTCCCCGCCCCCCCCAGTGTCATCTCTGAGTGGGTCGGAGGACGTTCCTGGCATCACTGAGGGAGGGACAGGGTGGTGGCAGCAGGAGGTGGGGATGGTTGGGGCTCTCCGCGTTGACCTCTCCCGTGTGCCACCCCTTGAGCAGAGGTATGTACCTTACCTCACAGATGAGAAAACGGGAGGCCCACAACTGTGACCTGTCCACCTCCCAAAAGGCAAGGTGGGGGTGTGAACCAAGATCAGACTCCAAAGGTCTGTGCCCTTAACCCTCGGGCAGTGACACTAGAGCTAGGTGCGGCTTGGCACCTGTAGGCCGACGGCGTCAAAAAACCAAACCAAACCGAACCTCAGCTGGAGGTTTCTGGCCTCACCGCGGAGCCCTGGAACGACCGGCCTTTGTGAGGTGGCCCTGGCGGGTGGCAGCGGTTCCGTCCTCCTGCCGGGGGAGGGGCGGGCAGAAGCTGGGGGACAAGGGCAGGAGCAGGAGATGGTTCTCGCCATGCTGGGGGCTCTGTATCCCAGGGCGGGGCTGAGCCTCTTCCTCCTCTACCTCGTCCTGGCTGCTGCACTCCTCCGCCCCCAGCCGCTGAGGTAACTCCTGGGAGCACAGGGTCAGCGGTCCACCGGGCGGGGGGCCTGGAAGGGGGGGCCCGGAAGGGAGGGGGACTGCGTGCCGCCTCCCGCTCCCCACCCTGCCCCGGGGGACTGGCTGGTGCTGTTACCCGGGGCGTTGGGGCTCACCCAGGCCCCCACCCTGAGCCTTCACAGGGAGGTGGTTAGCAGGCTGCAGGGCCAGGGCTGAGCACCCCAACATCTCCCACAGGCCTCAGCGATCTGTCCCTGAAGAACTTTCAGCCCCTCTGGAACTCTTGCAGCCACTTTCTGGCCTAGTAGATGGTAGTATCTCAGCCCTGCCCGCCCCCCTGCCCCCCCAATGTGGGACACATGCCGGGGGGGGGGCACCCACATCCAGCCGCGGGGACTTTTCATCCCAAACAGCACTGTTCTGGGGTGATCTGGGCAGATTCCCCTGCCACCCACACCCCCTTCTCTCCTTAGACTATGGGGTTCGACCCAAGCACCCCTGGCCGCGAGGGCCTCGACCCCTTCTCTCCCGGGCCCAGCAGCGCAAGCGGGACGGGCCGGACATGGCTGAGTATTACTATGATGCACCCGTGTGACGGGAGCCCCTTATAAAGCTATTCTGTGCAGCCAAGGCTTGGGCTTTCCTGGCACGGACACCAGCTGGGGGCGGGGGCAGGGAGACACACCCACTGCGGTCCAGACAGGAAATGGCACTTTAATAGGAGGGGCCCGGGGGCACAGGACCAAACTGGGGCTACAGCCGAAGCAGCCAAGAGGCCCTGGCTGGCCCGGGCCTGGCCCGAAGCCTCCTTTTCCTGCTGGGCCGGGGGCCCTGCCGCAGCGCTCTTCTTCCCTGGTGAGGCCCCACACGTGCCAGGGGCCAGCGTGCCGGCCACCCAGAGGCCACACAAGTGACAGAGGGGGACAGGGACTTCACCCCCACCTGCCACAAAGTCCTTGGGAGGTGGCTGGGCTCAGCCGGGCGCTGGGGATGGGGGGGTGGGGTGGGCACTGGCAGGTGGCATGGGCTTGGAGAAAGAACCAGAGGCCCTGGCAGGGGAAGCAACGCCCTGGGTGGGGCCAAGCCCTCGGCTCCTACGACGGACATCCTTCCTGGCCAGAGGCCTGCCACCCCCCCAGCCCCGCTGCCTCCCAGTCCCTGGGCAGCCTGCTCTGTCCTCCATAGATGCATCTAGTCCCATATATTACAATAAACTGCATTTGCCTCTCCCTAGAAACCCCGCCCTCGGCCAAAGGCCCCCACTTCCCGTCCTCGGGTGGTGACGGGCGCCCCTCCTCAAGCAATGCCTGCGTCCCATCAGCAGCCAGGTGTCCCAGCGCAGCCTGTGGGCCCAGGGATGGAGAGGGCAGGGCAGCGCGGCTACTCCAGGTAGATGTCTTCCGTGGGGCACGTGTACTCCACGAACTGCTTGTAGAACTGCTGGAATGCTCTCCTAGGAAGCAGGCAGACACCCAGGTGACGGGAAGAACCCCATTTCCACCTGCAGTTTTTCACCTGGAGCCTCGGCTCCCCGGGTAGGGCTTGGGCTTCCCGGGAGGGAGCTGCTCGCTCTGCTGTCCCTATGGGGTGCTTCCTGCGTGACACTGCTGTTGGAGGGGCCCAACAGCTGGTCGGGAGCTACTCCTCAAGGCCACCCAGCAGGGCTCGAGGCCACGAAGCGTGCAGAGCTGGGAGGGGAACTGGCATGTGCTCTGGGGCTGGGTGCCCGGCAGGGAACACACACACACACACACATGCACACACACACATGCGCGCGCACACACGCACACGCACACACGCGTGCGCGCACACACATACCCCACGGATTCTGCCAGGGCTTTGGTGGATTCCTCGGAAACAAAGACATGGCAGGCAAACCGATGGTCAGCGGGGTGCTTGGTGATGAACCCAAAGTACCTGTATGAGGAGAGCCATCTGTCTGAGGGCGGCGCGGGGGCTCAGCCCCCTCCAGACATACTCACAGACCCGCACCCAACCGACACAGCCCCAGGCTGTCCCCTCACACATCACTCTCCGTCCCCTCCCACTTACTTATTGTTCTTCGGATGGTATCCACAGAAAGAGATGTTTTTTAACTGGAAAAAGTGGCTACATTTATTCCCCTGCAGGAGGGAAATGAGAGGCAGAGTGTCATCAGCCGACAGGGGCCACAGGTGGGAGATCTGGAGGGGGGCGGGCGGCCGGGGCGGTCACCTTGGCCTCCTGGGAATCATCAGCCTTGACGCCGATCTTCACGCCCCGCATGCTGATCTCCAGGACGCAGCTGGATGGCGGGTTAAAGTGCACGGTGAGCCGGCGGGTGGTGGCAATCTGTGGGTGAGGGGCGGGCATCAGGCACTGGGCGCCCCTCTCCCCAGGAGAGGGCGGGGGTCCCGGGCCGGGGGGGCGCGGGGAACAGGCACCTTTTGCATAGCAGCACAGAGCACGTCGTTGCCCTTGTGGTAGGGAACCTGGACGGAGCCCAGGAACTTCACCCGGAACTGGTCCACCCAGTCGCTGGTTTTGGTCAGGGCTGGAAAGCAAGCGGGAAGTGAGGGATGGCTGAGCCAGCAGAGGGGGCCGCAGTCCCCGGGTGTCCCAATTCGGCCGGGCCTCCCTTTTCTTGGTGGGAGACGCACCTAACGTCCCCTCTGCCAGGGCCCTCCCTGGGGCTTTGAAGTCATCTGGCAGCAAAGGGGGAATGGCAGGGGGGCCGGTGGCGCTGAGGAGGGGAAAAGATGCTACCTGCCATATGTTCCGGCTCCTTGGTGACCTCGATGGCATAGTAGGCGGGGAAGACCCCCCGGGCGCCCGTGCGCATGTTGTAGGCCTCGTACCAGTAGTCCTCAGCCTGCAGCTCCACCAGCAGAGGGTCGTCCACCTCGAGCTCCAGCTCATCTTCATGTCGAGGCACAAACCTGCCCCCCCACAAGGGCAAGGCAGGAATTCACCTGCAGGGCCTCCCCAGCCGGGTCATCTCTCCGCTCCCCACACAGCCCTGGGGGCAGGCGGCTGCCAGAGCGGCACCAGTTCAATAAACCTCCGTAAAGTCTCCTGGGTCTGTGCTCGTGCTAGTTCCCGGGGAAGAGCAAGATCGCGCAGACGGGCACCTGCCGTCCAGGAACTTGTGGGCTCAGGGAGGAGGTACCCAGAGCCACTCGAGAAACACAGAGGTAACAGGAGGTGAGCACTTCCCTGTGGAGGGCGGGCAGGGGTGTGCCTTGTGCACAGCTGGGCATCATCTCTGCCGGGCACCCTCCCCGGGCTCCGGCCCCCAGCCAGACGTGGGGCTCGGTCTCAGGCCCCAGCGGCACGGCCAAGGCCACACTGCCCTCAATTCCGCCGGGGTGGACCCTGGCCCCCTGGGGCTGAGCAGAGGGATGAACGCCAGCGTGAGTGCTGGGTCTAGGCCACGCAGGGATGGCAGCGGCTGGGACGGGTGGCCCCACTGTTGCCTGGCCGGCCCAGCCCTGCGACTCTTACCTGAATATGGCCCGGTGTGTCTGCTCCCGCTCCTCGCCATTGATGACACAGGAGAAGAGCCCGAAGGACTCTGCACCTGCAAGCGAGGGGGATGAGCTGGAGGAGAACCGACCCACTCTGGCTGAGGTCTGGCGGGGGGACAGGTAGCAGGCTCTCAGTCCTGACACCTTAAAGCAGACGGGCAAGGCCACCTTCCAGGAACACCCTCGATTCGGCGCTGCCCCATCCCAGGCCCCCCCACCGCGCCCGCTGCAGACTCACTGGAGGAGCGAGAGCGGCCGCTCATGAAGACGTTCAGGAATTTCTTGGAGAAGTGGACGTCAGGCTCGTCCGGCGTGGAGTCCTCGGAGAGACAGGCCGGGGGCCGCGGCCGGGGGGCCTCCTCGTACTCCTCCCCGATGGCCGACTCATAGGGCGAGGAGACAGACGCGCAGTTGTCATAGACGGTAGCCGAGTCGCTCTCGTCGCTGTAGTCTCCGAAGCACGGCCGCAGGCTCACCAGCTCCAGCTGTGCGTGCTCATCCACCACCAGAGTGTACTTGACCGAGTCGTAGGACAGGGCGCTGGTGTCCGAGCTCAGCGAGGCCCGTGGAGGTGGCGGCGGCTCCCCGAGGCTCCCCCGCCACCCCCCGCCCGGCGGCTCAGCCCGCTCCGGGGACGACAAGCAGTCGAAGCCCTCGTCCTCCTCACTGATGGAGGGGTGCGGCCGGCCCGCCGCGGAGGGGTAGGCCGCAGGGTCTGGATCGGAGCTGACTGACATCCGGCTCTCGGCCGGCGGCAGGAAGGCAGACGTGGGCTCTGCAGGGTCCGGTGGCCTCTGCACAGGCGTCAGGTAGATCTCCTCGGTGGCCTCTAGCCGCACGTCCGCCTGGTAGTGGATGCGGTCTCGGTGCGAGTGGCCCCGGCTGCTCGGGGGGGCCGCGGGGGGGCCGCCGGGAGGGGCCATCTGTGTGGCGGTGCTGCGGCGGCAGGGGCTGTCGGTAGAGGTGCCTCGGTCCTTGGTGGTGGCAGGGCTGCTTGGGGGCGGCAGCTCATCGCTCAGGCAGATGTGTTCATGTGGAGGCGTCTGCTCCCCTGGAGGGCAGGCAGGTCAGTGCTCGAGGCAGGTGGCCTCGCCCTTGACTCCCAGGCCACCTGCCCCCTCCACTGAGCACGTGAAGGCTCCCGGGTGCTAGGCCACGGTGGGCTCTGGGGCCAGTGCTCTCACTCCCGTCCCAGCCGACTTCAGATGGGCCTGCTCAAGGCTGTTTGATGGACGGTTTACCGCACCTCGGCAAGATGGAGCCTGCCGGGTTGCTCTCTGCAGGGGAAACTGAGTCAGGGCAGGTGGAGGGCCAAGTAAGGGAAAGGGTCCTGACTTACCGGTCTTCAGGGGTGATGATGACCGAGACACCCGATCCTGCCAACTGTGCTTCTTGCCCAGAGAATTATTATTCAATGTGTCCTGTGCAGAAAACAAAAGGCCCTTGTGACAGAAGGCGTCAACAGTGCCCGGCACAGGGAGGTCCTGGCCCTGCCCCCATCAGGCCATCCCTAGGCCATTTGCTGCACCCCCCCACACACACACACACTTGCCAAGGGCCTCACCCCCAACCCTCCTTGAATAGCCAGGAGGGGTGGCAAATCACAGCCCTCCCAGCCAGACCTAATAGCTCTAGACAGCTCTCCCTCCTGGCTCAGGGAAGCTGGCCAACCCTTGGGGAGATGCTCTTATCAGCCTCAGCAAAGGTGAAGACCAGTATGTGTGGTGGTGAGTGGGGGAGGAGAGAGGGAGAAGCACGAGCCATGTGAGGACAGAGCGAGACCCCAGTCCCAGACACAGGGGCTTTACATGGTAGATGCTCACTTCCAGCCAAGTCCTGGGACTCAGGAAGCTATGGCCTAGGGAAGAGGCAGGGATATCCTAGGAGAAGCTGAAAAAAGGACGAGGAAGGGTCTCGCAGCAGCTGGCCTGGGGGGCCAGGATGAATCATCCAAGTGATGAATCAATAGCATGGCTCCCCCACCCCTCCAGGAGCACATGACTGAGGAATGACAGATGTAGTTGTCAGCAGCCTTCCTTCCTGGATCTCCCAGGCCGCCCAACCCACATCGTTGGTGCCCTGGGACCCCTCTCCACCACGCCTACAAACAAGGCTCCCCACAAACGATTTAGGCTCCCTCCCCTGGGAACACACTCATAGGCCCTCACATTCAGGAGTCTGGCTGCCAAAATCCACCCCAGAGGATTCTGGGAAAGGGACCAATCCTTTGCCTGCAGCCCCTGCACCCTCCACCAACAGCCCCACCTCCCTGAGTCCCTCTTCTGTACCTCTCCTGACTGGGCCTGGAAGACAAAGGGCCACAGCCGGCTCTCCCCCACCCTATTCAACCCTCCTTGGCATCCAGCCACCCAGCCCAGGGGCCCTGGGCCCCCAACTCAGCCAAGCAGCTCCGCCTCCCATGCCTCTTCCCTGCCTTCTGGGAATTCCCAGCTGCCCACATCTCGAACTGCCTGCCCCCCTCTTCACAATTCCTCATGACCTTCCCCCAGCAACGACCACTGTAGATGCTCTTTTCTCCAGGCCTGCTTCTGCCCTTCACCAGGACCCCCACACCCTAAAGGGGAAACCCTGCCTCAGCCTGAGGTCCCAAGCTCCAAACCCTTGCGACTAGCCCTCAAAGCTCTGTTCTGTCCCCAAGCCCCCACTGCTCTCCTTACCCAGATCCTTCCACTGTCCCTCTCGCTCCCTTCACTCCTTCAAACCCTCCTCAAGGGTCCAAACCCTGTCGGCCTGACCTGGCCCCTCTCCCTCAGGGCAGATCGCACCTGCCCGCGGAGACACCTCCCCTGGGCCCTCCCCCTTGGGAAGTCTCACCAGGCCGACTTCTCCCAGCGCCCGCCCGCAGCTCCCTCTCCTACAGCCCCTCCTCGTTCCTCTAGCCCGCGCCCCGCACTGGGCCGCGAGTTGCTCGGCCCCCACCCCACTCCCCGCCCCACGCCTCGCGCGCGCGGCCTCAGGGCACCGCCCCTTCAGCCCCGCCCCACGCTGCCCGCGCCTCACCTGAGACCTCGGCACCTGCGGGAAAAGGTTGAGCGTGGTGGGCCGCTTGGGCCGATACGTGTCTCCGCCGCCCTGGCCCTGGCCCTGGCCGCGGGGCGCGGGCTCCTGGCGGGGCTCGGCCTCCGGCGGCCCCGCTCCCGGCCGCCGCGCTGCGCGCTCCTCCTCCTCCTCGTCGTCGTCCTCGGCGCCGGGAGTGTCCCCCGCCGCGTCGATCAGGTCCATCTGCAGCATCTCGGCCTGCAGTCGGCTCCCGGCGCCGCCGCCGCCCCCAGACAGCAGCCCGGCGCGCGGGGGCTGCGCGGCGCGGACGGAGGGGCGTCAGGGGGCGGGGCCGGGGCGGGGCCGAGGCCGCCGCACACCGGCCCCCGCCCGGGCGAGTCCATTACCTCGGCCGCAAAGGGGGAGGGCACGGGAGAGAGGCAGGGGGCCCGGCGAGAGGGGGCCGCGCCCTCCCGCCCCCCGCGAGGATGCGCGAGACCGACTGCTCCCCAATCTAGTCGGCGCCTTTGGCAGTCCACACCGTCCCCTCCCCACGGTGCCCGCCTTCCTGACTCTCTGCACCCTCCCTTTCCCTTGGCAACGGCCAGTGACCTCACCGGGGTTGTAAGCCGAGCCCAGAGTGAGGTCACCGCTGTTGCCATGGGGACGCAGGGTCGCCAAGGAGTTCGGGCCCCACAAGGGATGGACGGGGGGGGGGGGGAGGTTAGTATTTGAAGGGGGCAGCGAGGAAAACTGGGAAAATAGTCTCAGCCAGGCGGAGGATTTGGAGGGAGGGCGGCAGTGCGAACAGGAGGACCTAAGCGCGGCCGGAAGAGGGGTGCCGGGGGGAGGGGCGGGGGGGCACCTGGACGCGGCACCTGTCCACAGTCCGAGGCCCCTCCAACCTGAGGTGTTCCCTCAGGCCATCCTAAAACTCGATAACTAGTCTACTTTCAGCTCTGCCACGAACTCCCCAGCACCCTGGACAGATCCCCTGCCCCGCCCCTGCCCCCAGCATTCCCTCACCTGTTAACTGCCTTCCAGCTTCCCAGGGAGGTGAGGACTCACTGGCAACAGTGTGTGAAAGCCCCCTAGAGCTTGTCTAAGGCCCCACAGGGTACACCTCCAGCTAGTACTGCCTCAGGGCCCTGGCTGGTCGCAGGGACCACCCTCTCCAAAACTCTGCTGGTGTGTGTTGGATGAAGGGGTGGTGTGGAATTCCGGAAGAGGTGTGTGACCTTAAGAGAAGCTACCTCAGGGCCCTGGGACCATTCCCTACCCTTGCTGGCCTGGCCAGAGCGGGGAGGGTTGGGGCAGGGGGTACTGCAGGGTCATCCTCACCCCTTGGTTTCCTCTTGCCTGGCAGAGCTTACAGAATCTCCGTAACAGGCAACAGGAGGTCACCCGGAAGCAGGCACCGCCCCCCCTCCCCCTCACATGGCAGTTCTCCTTTGCTAACCATTCTCCTAATACCACCTCTGCTTTGGCCACCCACCCTGCTGGGGGCTGCCAGAAGCTCTGGGCTCTGCAACCTAGTCCTGTGCTTTGCCTCCCGTTTCCTGGCCAGTGGCCCCTTCTTCCTGTTCTGAAAAGACACAGGGGGATCCCTGTCTGACTCAAGCTACCCAGATGCTGAGGACCTCCTGGCAGGATTCAGAACTCAGGGAACGGACAGAGCCATCTGTCCTCTGAAAAAGCCAGGAGACCAAAAGCAGCGGCAATGCTGGGTTAACCCTCCAGAGGAGCCTTCAGAACGGGGGGGCCGGGGAGGGTGTGCGGGGCAGTGTGGTGTGGTTTGGTGCAATGGCAGCTGAGGGAGGGCCTTGGCTCTTTTTCTCCTGGCCCGAAGCACTGCAGATTCCACTAGACTCCACCCTTGCTCTGCCTCAGGCCCTCTGCCAAGGCCGCTCTGGAAAGGGTTTAGGGTAGTCCTGATCCTTCCTTTAAGCCTGGCCCTAACTGCTACTGCCTTCCATCTGAAGACCTCCTGCCCTCTCCCTTCTTGTGGGCAGTTGAGGGAGCTGCCTCTTGCCTTGGCCCCCCTGGCAAAAACAACCAAAAACTCCTGATTAGAGCACTTCATTTCATTTCATGAGGATGCCATATAGACCCTGAAGGTCCTTTTGTAGATATGGGGATGCCTTCACTCCTGTCCCAACCCACCCTGTCCCTCACAGTCCCCCCCACCCCCCGGGGCTCCTGAGAGCCGGCTCTTACCCGCAAGGACAGAGTGTCTTTGCACTGCAGGCTGATGCCACACTCCTCGGTGATCTCTGAGAGGTCTTCATCCTCAAACTCCTCCAAGCTGATGTCATGGGTGAGCCTGGTGAGCATAGGAAGCCGAAGTTACCAACCCAGGGGCATTACTTAGCCCACGGAGGTCTTCCTAGTACCTCTTCTAAGGGGCGGCCCCTTGAAGGCAGATCACAGCCCCCAGAGGATGGGACTTGGTGTCCACCTGCACTGAGGCAAGGGGTAACAGGCAGGGAAAGGGGAGGCTCCAGGTTACTCCCACTCCTCCCGGCTGGGAGCTATCCACTCTGTTGCCAACCAGGAGGCAGTGCCTGGAAGGCCCAGCTGGTCAGAGCCTCGGCTCGGCCAGAGAAATGCCTCCCAGGGTCAAGGCAGGTGCCGAGGCCAGTTCACCCACGGAGAATGCAGAGTTGAGAAGCGACTCCAAGGGATGCCTGGAGTAGGGGGTTCCCCGTGCAACCCCTGCAGCGACAAAACCCAAGGTGCTGGCAGAGGCCCCTCCCCAGCCTCAGGAGAGTGCTCCATGCCCCTAGCCCAGGAAGACCAAAGCCTCTTGAGCCCTGTGAGCAAGTGAAGGGAAATCTGGTGTCAATGTGGCGAGTTTCAGCCTGTTCCATGAGAGACTACACCCCCATTCTGGGTTCTTCATTTCATCTCTTCAACCACAAGATTGCTTGCCCAGCGCACAGACCCTGAACAGAAGGCTGCAGAGGGCTCAAGGAAGGCCCGAAGTTGGGGCTAGAGGTGTCATGAGCTCAGGGGACAGACCAAAGCACATCGGTACCACAACTCTAACTGGCTGTGCCACAACCCTCTCCCCCCGCCCCCCAGGCCAGTGCTGTGCCCCCAACCCCACTGCAGCGACTGTCGGCTTGTCCCCAGCGCCTGGCTCACCACCAGCCCTGGGCACTCCACCTGGCTTGGTGTGGCTGGGATGTTTGGGAGAATTCTGTTGGAGGAAGTTGGGGCCAGTTCTGAGCCTTTTTCCAAATAACACCAGGAGATTGAGGCACAGAGCAAGGGACACCCAGGAGTCCAAGGTCACCCAGGAGAGGTGGTGACCCAGCCCCCGGGGGGGACCTAGGAGGCCCACACCCCCTGCCTCTTGCCTCAGTCAGACCAAACAGAGACCCAGAGCTCCATGGAGCTGCCCCCCCGGTGTCCCCTGCCCACCAATCCCTATACGCCCTACCAGCGCTCCCACTGATCCTCCAACCAGCTGTCATTGTCTGGGCTCGAATCCATCTTCAGCACCAACTTCATGGAGAGCCCTGCCCGGCTGGGGGGCTGCAGGGCCCCAGGGCCACCCTCTCATGCCCAGAAAGGTTGGGAGGCCTGGGCTCAGGGCAGGGCTGGGGCCTTGGGCCTCCACTGCCTGGGCCTGCCTGTCTGCGTCCTGCCCGCTGCAGAAGCCTGGGGAGCTCATTAAAAATAGATGGGCCAGCAGAAGAGGCAGTGGCTGCCGACCCGGGCCCCAGCCCCAGCACTTCCCAGCCCAGCCCTCAGCTGCAGGCCGCTGCCTTCCCAGCCTGGGCCGCCCCGCAGTGGCGCTGAAGCTGAAGCCGCCCCTGGTTGCCACCTCCCCCTCGGGATCGGGTTACTGCAATCGAAGCTACCGGCTCTACCTGCCCTTCTAATGCCCCTGTCGGGGGCTGCGGTGGCCACCCTCCCTGGCCCAGGCTCATAAGCAGATGGCAGAAGTCTGGGATGTCTCCCCCCAAAAGCCAGCCCTGATCTGCTTTAAAGGGCCAGCACCACATTCAAGGTGCCCGGTGGTAAGATGGGGGGGGCTTCTGAAATTTTCCATGAATGGATGCCCCCATCTACACGGCAACGCGCTCAGCCCTCACACCTCCTCAGGGAGGCTTCTGCGGGCCCAGGCAGCAACCAGACAGTGGCAGATGACCGAGGAGGGTCTGGACTGCCTCTACCGACAAGCTGGATGCACGACAGAACCCCGCCACCTCCCCGGAGTTTCATCCTTCAGCACCCAGGACGTGCCTACGGGCACAGGAGGCTCCATAGCCAGGGCTAAGGACAGAGCAGGTGTGGACCTCTCGGGGCAGGGCTGGAAGGTAAAGAGCTTTCTGTCACCGTGGAGCGCCATCCACAGAAGCTGGTAGGCCCCGGACGGAACAGCAGAGAGGGCTTCTGACCAGGATGAGGGAGCTGGACAGATGAGGTGCTCCTTGAGACCGGGGAGGAGGACCCAGGGGCTGGCACCAAGTAGGTGGTCAAAAAGCCCGGCTGCCTGGACAGTCACAGAGAAGGCACTGCGGGGACTCTGCCAGCATCAGGGAGCTGCAGGATCACGGGGCATCTGACCCAGAGGTGCCCTCAGGTGCCCCCTGCTCTGCCAGGAATCCCTGCACACCTGTGCACCTCCTCCTCCTCTCTGCCAGGTCCTGGCCCGGCTCCTGTCTCCGCAGCCCCAGACCTCCCCACTGGCCTGCTCACCTCAGTGCCCCCATACCAGAAGCACTCCACCCCATCCACCACCCTGCAAAGCTGGCAGAAACACCACCCTTCTGTCCCCCCCCCCCTCACAATCCCCTAAGGTTCCCTCCTAGTGGCCGACCCCTTGGCTTGGCATTCAAGGCCTCCAGCTCTGGGTGTGGCTGCATGTGCCTCCTGCACCTGCCTCCCCGGGCTCTAGTCCAGGGCTTGCTTCTTGAGCTGTGCTTGCTGGAGAAGGTTCAGTTAAGCCCACTCCTCCAGGAAGCCATCCTAGCCTCCCCCCCCGCCGTGCCAGTGCCTTACAGCCCGCCTGGCAATGTTCATTGGTCCCCGGGCAACCCCTCACTTGTGGCTGGTGTCACCATCTGTGTGGATGCAAGGCAGTGTGGTGAGACAGACAGAACCAGGCCTCTGTCAGACACCCCACCGGGCTGCTCCGAAGGTGGATGGAGCTCGCACTGCCCACCCTCGTACCCAGCAGGTGAGGCACGCGGGCCCCCACCCGCCCGGCTCCAGCTGGGCTGCATGCTCCTGGAGGCTAAAGCTGGTGGGTCATCTTGCACACGCGAGGCCCCGAGTACACGCCTGCCAGATGTTTGTCGGCGGACATCCTTAGCATCTGCCTGCTCCTCCCCAACCACAGTGTTCAGGGCAGGCCCGCAGGGGAGCTTTCTCAGCTCATCTCTACACCCTCAGCATTACCCTGTATCCCACGGCCCGGGATGGCAGGTCTGGGGGCAGGCAGGACAGCCATGGCCTCCTTTACAGCGAAGGGCACTGAGGTTAACTGGACGGTGGCGGGGGGAGCATGGGGCCGGGCCTGAAAGCCCGCACCGGCTTCCAGCTCCAGTGGGGCAGGTGAAGGGAGTTTCTTATCTGACTTTTTCCTCCTAAGTGTGGCAGGATGGCAGAACGGTCCCCGCAGCAGGCTTGGGGACAGGAGGTGCAGGATCAAATCCTGGCTCCTTCACTTAGGACTGGCCGCTCCATTTCCTGAGCAGCTGTCGTGCCCCGGCCGCCAACTGGCTTCGTGCTCTGCGTCTCCTTCAGTCCTCACCACCACCTGGGGAGATGGTCTTATTTTGCCCATTTTCCAGATGAGGAGCCCTAAGGCTCCGACAGAAGGTGCTGTGAGGTTTCCCATAGCTGCGCACCCCCTCAAGGGCGCCGCTGGGGATTCCCCGAGTGGAGCAGTTGTGAGTTGGAGTGCTGCGAGGGGGCCACAAGCAAGGAACAAGGGGACGGACTGGTCAGGCAGTCGCCTTTGCAAGTCACCCCCCACCTGCCCTGCCCCTGCCCTTAGCTCTGCTTTTCCAGGCACTGGATGTTCTGGGTCTCCGTGGGTGGGGTGGGGGGAGGTGGGCTTCGTGGAGGGAAAGCTTAACAGACCCTTGGGCCCTCCAGGCTCAAGGCAGGCAACTGTGGGGAGGAAGGGAGGAAGAAGAAGCTGGAGGGGAGGAGGGAAGAGGGGAAGGAGGGAGGCTGTCCCCTCCTGATCCCACCAGCCCACCTTTCCCCTGCAAACTGGAGCCCTGAGCACCAGGGGGCCGTCTCCAGCTGCATCACACAAGCCCCCGCAGGTCGGCGTCCCTCACCTCCAGATCTGGAGGCCTCAGAAGCAGCCTGTCCTCGGCGCTGCTTGTCCGAGCTTCCCGAGGTCTCATCCACGTTACCGTTCGGTGGCTCTGTGTCATGAGTTTGCTCTCCTGGGACCTCCCTGACCTCTGGAGTCTATCTTTATATTTGAGGCCCTTCTTCCTGCATGAACCTCACCTCCCACTCTGGTGCCCCAGTCCTCTCTCCTGGCCAAGCTGGGTCCTCACTGCGTTCTAAACATGCCGCCAGTGCTCCCCACCTCTTCCTGCGATGAGCTCTCCAAAATGAACAAACATGCCCTCGTGCGTGGGTGCTTACTCTGTGGCCTTTCCCCTTCCACGTGCCGTCACGTCTCCCTGCAGTCCTCCTCGTCCCACCAACGGCAGCCTAGCCCGCTCCAATTCCTCCTCCCGGCAGTGGGCTGGGTTAGGAGTGCGTGCAAAGTATGGGTTAAGTGGCAAAGGCTTTAGCTGAGTAAGGCTGAACCTGAGCCAGGCATTTGGCTGTCCAGAGGCCATTCCTGTCTCCCCATTCCTGGCTGTCTGGAAGCGGCATCAGGATGCCCCTGAGGGACCTTGGGTCCCGGCCATGGTGCCCACGGGCCCCTCTCACAACTGAGAGCATCTGTGGTTCCAGTGTCCAGCCTGTCCCTCTGTGGCCCTGTGCATGCTGAGGCGACAGCTGGCTCCCAATGGGTTCTCCGCTAGGCAGTTTCCCCACTTCCCACCGGCTCCTCTACGGGCCACTTTCCACGGGGCAACCAAAAGCAACATCTGACACACAAATCTGGTCTGGTCACCCCTCCCCAGCTCAGAATCCCTTAGTAGCTTTCCCTGGCCCTTAGGGAAAGGGGCGCAAATTCCCTGTGGTCTGAAGGCTCAGGAGGGCCACCCTCCACTCTAGGGTGTCATCATCGCCCCCCCCCCCCCCCCCCCCCCCCCCCCAGCCCCAACCAGCTCCCTCAAAACCTTCCCTGACTTCCCTGACCAGGCAAACAGCCCTGCTACTGGCTCTCTT